AGAACCACCAGTCCTAGTGTCAGTGGATCAGAACCACCAGTCCTAGTGTTAACGGATCAGAACCACCAGTCCTAGTGTCAGTGGATCAGAACCACCAGTCCTAGTGTTAACGGATCAGAACCACCAGTCCTAGTGTTAACGGATCAGTCATTGTTCAGTCATGGTGTCAGTTTAACAGTGGAGGGAGGTTCTGATGTAAACTATGGTGAAGTTCTGATGACAGTTACTGTAAACTGTAGGTTGTACCTAAGTGAGTTGGAGACTGGACCAGAACCACATGAACTGTTTGTGCTGTAGTTTGTTGACAGACTGATACAGACATGAAGAGACAGAACAACAAGACTAAAGCAGAACCGTGAACATGGGACGGCCTCGGTAGGGAGAACCGGACCCGCAGTGCTGCAGGAATCAACCGTTGATGAACTAAAGCCTAAATGTTGTGAGACTGTTGACCAGAGACCCGTCATCACATGTTCTGATCCATATGACAGGAGCAGCTGGTAACGAAGGAAACAGTCATTAGCATGAACGAACCGAAGCTCTTAGAACCTGTTTGACTGAGAGAAACTGTCAGATGAATTAACACAGGTGATACTGATCTACACCTTAACATTAAAACTAATTAACTAGACATGTATCATTAACACTGTGGGGTCCGGACTGACCTAATTAGTAACTTAACATGGTTTAATTTAATCGGGTCTAAACCTTCATAACAATAATTAATAATATTACTGTACGTTCTGCAGCTTGCTATCTAAATCAGTCTGGTCCATTTTAATTAACATCATAGAGTTAATTCTGATTTATAATAAATACTGTGGAGCTTTCAGAGCTGATTAATTAACTAATTAAACATCAGATTACTGATCCAGCTTCAGTTCTACTGACGGGTCGGTTCCGGTCCGTTAATGTTTCTGCTTCCATCAGAGAACCAAGTCGAGCTTCGTACGACTTTAATTCAGCATCAAACCGGCAGTGGGAACGTTTTTATCTGGTTCTGGCTCAGAACGTTCTGCTCAGCGACGCTACAGTCGAGCTCCACGTTGAACAGAACCGATAATAGAACCGATAATAGAACCGATAAAGAGAGAAACTGTACGAATCTGAGTTTAAAGTTAAATAATAATAATAATTATTACTAGAATTAAAGTTCCATGACTCATAAACGACATTATTATGATGTCGTTAAACTACAAAAACATTCTAAGAAAGTTCTGCAGATGTTTTCAGTTGAACGTTTTCTTTTAGTTCCTGGAATGTTCTTCTCAAAGCTAGAATAGCTGAAGATACAAAAACATTTGGTGATAACGTCGTTAGAATGTTCTAGTGTTGCACTGAGAATGTTCTAACGTTGTTCTCGTATAACACTATGGAACATCAGGGGAACGTTTTGTAGATTCTCTCGTCTCCAAAACGTCTCAGAAGAACAACCAGAATGTTCCACCTTTGTTTACATATCACATCACAGGAATGTCTTATAAAGAACGTTCCGTCATCTGAGGGTTCCACATCGTGAAAACGTTTTTATTGTTGCCTGGAGAACAACCTTCCTTTCATCCAGTGTTTAAAATGTTCTATAGAAGAACCATCTGTCGTTTCCCATTTGTTTTTTTAAAGTTGCAAAAAGTTCTACCTTTAACATTACAGGGACGTCATAAACGTTCTCTGTCATCTGCGGCCTCTGGAGAACACTTTATGAATGTCTTTTGAGAACGTTCTTCCTTTTGTTTTCATGTAACATTGTGAGAATGTTTTATAGAAGAACGTTCTACAATGTGGTCCTCGAGAACCCCCCGTAATGCCCTTAGAACCCTGCAGGCAGAACTTTCCAGCTCTGTTCATCCATCACATTACAGAAACGTCTTATAAAGAACGTTCTTAGGGGTCATCTGAGGTCTTGGGAACATCCTTCATAGTTCATCATTGTGGAAACGTTTTATAGAAGAACGTTTGATAACATGTTCGCAACATGTTCCACCTTTAATATATCACATTACAGGAACGTTAGAAAACATTCTGTCATCTGAGGCCTTGATAACATCTACAGAACATTTTTTGAATGTTTTTTGAGAACGTTCTTCTTCTGTTATCATGAAACATTGTGAGAATGTTTTATAGAAGAATTTTTGCATTGTGTTCTCTCTAGAACATCTTCAAAACATCTTCAGAACATTGCAGTCACCTTTGTTAATACGTCACATAACATGAACGTCTTATAAAATCATCTTGGAAACGTTCCTTCTATGTTACTGGAACATCGTCTGTGTTCCTGAGAACATCTTCTTGAACGCTGATGTTAAAATGTTTTAAGAACATTCGTGGAAAAGGAAATTTTCCTTTAACGTCATTCGAACTTTGATTAAAACGCTTTCTCTAAAGAATTATTAGAACGTGTAGGAAACGTTATCAAATGTTGTGGGAACGTTCCCACGAGTAGAAACACCGTCGCCTCTGAAGTCTTGGGTAGTGTTAGCTTTAGCGGTTAGCATCAGACTTACGTCCAAACTGTCAAACTGTCAAACAAACCAAAGTGACTCCTGAATAGTTTAACGTAAAACACGACGTTCTGGTTCTGGCGGTTCTGGTGGTTCTGCGACACATCGACGGATCTGCGTGAGCGAAGACGAACAAATACGACTGAAAAGGCAAAAAGCAGGAACTGTGTTTATGTTTCCTGCTTTATGCTCATCAGCAACGCTTAAGTTTGACTTTTGGTTGTTTTCTAGTTAAAAACAAATAAATAAATCAGAACACAAGTTCGTCTCTTGATAAAATGGTTGTAATCTGTAATCATGTGTTTCCACATCTGTCCAGCAGGAGGCGAGCTACAGGTTTAAAGAGGTGTTGGTGCAAATGAGCTGAAAAGTCTGATGTGTTTTGTATGAAAACACGGTTTTAAAATCACAAAAGCTTCACGTAGAAACAGTTTTGTTTGAGTTTTATTTCTGCTTCAACCTTCCAGAAACCAAAAGCTGCAGTTTGATGAATTCAGAATCTTTTCTGTTTTATGTTTCTTTGAAGTTTTAAGCAGATAAAAGTTAAAATCCTTCATAATATAATAAAGTTTGATTTTCACTCATGTTTGAGATTTTTCATAATAACGATATCAATAATCTATAAAAAAAAAAAAAGAAAGATACTAATTCTGCTCATTGTGCTGTTTAACATTGTAGGCTCTTAACAGTCGGTTTAATTTGTATAACATAATGTCTGTGTGTGTTTAACATTTAATATTTGTGGCGTTATTGATGTTTGTGGTGGATGTGAAGACGCTTCGGTGTGTTTTAGTGAAACGCAGATTAAACTCAAACCTGTATTAATGATGAGATGTTTATACGTAGAGAGAGAAATAAAAAGTGGCATCAAACTAAACTATTTATCACAAACTTGTTCTGATGAATCTGAAAAAAGAACCTCAGAAAATCCAACAGCAATAAAAACATTTCTTTGTGTTTTTAATCCCTAAAATAAGAACAATAATTTACATTTAGGCAATTTTTTAATCTTAAATCTTATTTTTTCAAGAAAAATCTGGATTATTTTGTTGTTATACGTAAAAATGTGACTTAAAATCCTGAGAAAAGCTCAAAACAAGATGTTTATCTCAAACAAATCTCATGAATTTGTTTGAATTTTTAGGTATGAAGGTGAACCTGAAAACAGTTTCACCATATTTTGTCAAATAAACACTAAAAAGTGAACGAGAATATGAATTATGAGTCATTTCACAGCAGATGTTGAAGGAGAACTGATGGTTTTGTTGGTGTAGCAGCAAAAGAACGTGAACGTGGAGCTCGGTGGTGATTTATGGTTTAAAAATCAGCTTCAATCATATATTTGCCACCACAGCCTGTACGCTGCATCCTAAACCCTTCATGTGTGACCTCCTACGTGGACTGACCTGCAGCAGCAGCAGAACCGAGGCGATCCACAGGCGGCAGAACCAACGTTCAACTTTACATTTCAGCATTTTGCGCCTCCTTTAGATCCTCATGCGGAGCAGCCTCCACCATAATCCTGAGCCTGAGGTAGGAGACGAGGTTCTGTTCACTGCCCAGGTCCAGAAATATCCCGTTTCCTTTAGAGTCCTCCGAACTGAAGCTGGAAAGAAAAACGTTGAGTCAGTTTAGACCGAAAAGTAAATCCTGCTCGTATTCCTTAAGTTGTCCAGATGCTGCGTCGTCTCTGTCGGTCGGCTCGACTCGCTCTGACGTCCATCCTCGACTCGGAGCCCTCGACTCGACTCTCGGCCTTTCCTCTGCCTGTCTCACTGCCGAGCGCCTCTTCCTGCCTGTCTGCCGGTTCTAACTCTGCAGAGTCGAGGTTGGGACTCGCTAACGGACTTCCTCAATCAAGCCAGCAGCTCTGAGTCACAAAGCGGCCCGACGGGGCTATAAATAGGCCCCAGGCTCACCTATGCAGAGGTAGCCGGTAAAAATAGAGCGTTTGATCAAATCCCAGCGAGACGCCGTCGCTGAGACTTTAAAAGTTTTGCTTTGTCACTGTGGACTTCTGAGGCGGCTTCAGGAGACGTTTAAATTCATCCCTGTTTAGTTTCTGCTGATAGTTTGAGTCTCATCAACATCAACATTCATACTCCTGATAGAAAGTTATAAACTCATTATTACATGTTTTACTTTGAAGGAATTCATCTAAAGGTGAAGCTGCATAATGAACCCTCTGATATAATCTGATTTAATGATTCAATATGTCAGCTATCGGCTTTAGTGAACACAACACAGAGCTTTATCCTTCACTTGTGTTTGTATTTTCTTAACCAATAACTAATTAATCAATAATCAACTGATTGATAACATGAATTATGTATCGTGGGTTTTGTTTTTTTTGTTAAAGGCATCGTGAGCCGCCGTTAAACGCCACAAAACACGTCGTCATGTTGTCCTCGTTAACTGATTATTTAAAATGTTTGTTTTTCTGCTTTTAATCTGAATTTTGAATTCATTAAGTCTCATGAAGTCATCAGGGAAAAAAAAGCATTTTCAAGACCCAATAAAACAACTTAATGTGTGAACTGATGGGTACCGGCTCTACAGAGCACCAACCAGAGTCCGATCCTGTCGGGACACCATTCGGCAGCACAATTAACCAGGAACACTGGTCTCCACCCGTCTTGGTGTCAAAGTGTTCTGAGCTGATTTTGGATCCAGATGTTACTTTGGTTTTGCTCAATGAGGTCAAAGTTTTGATTTGTGGCCTCGTGCAGTTTACTGGTATTTACCTTTACAGATGTGTAGCTCATCAACTTGTGGATCATTTAGCTCATGAAAAGGATTAGAAAATGACATTTTTCCTCTAAAATCCGATTTCATGTGAGAAATACTCAAATAAATCAATCGCTAATGTCAAAAAATATAAGAGATTTAGAGGCAAAATTGATTTTTTAAAATCGAGTTGGCATAAAAACCCGACCTGATGCAGAAAAGCAGACGTCATGTTTGGATTCAGAGCTGCAAAAATGTCCTAAATCAGTTTAAAAATCCTGGACACCTTCAAAAAAGTACTGTTTTATAACCAAGTGTAATGGATTCTTAAATGGCACAAATAACGAACAGCCGTGACTCAATAATCCGACACTAAACGTAAAACCTTCTTTTATGTCGGATTGTCAAGGCGGAGGTCCAGATACGAGGAGTTGTATGTAGTTGTTAAAATAACTCGTTTGTTGTTAGAACACTGATGAACACAAACAGAAACGTGAAGTCACAAAGAAATCCTCATTGAGCATCAAGTCCTGCAGTGTGAACGTAGCCAATCTGTGGGATTGTTCAGTCAGATAATACGCCGTCATCCTGATTGGTGACATTAAATGTCATGTCGGAGTCACAATCCAAGGCTGTCGCTATGTTAAGGCTGTTTTTATGGGTTCTGTTGGTTTTTCCTACAAACCTGTCGGACAGCAGGTTTAGGATTGTTAAGGGTCGATTATCGGGTCATGACTGGACTACGGTATATTCTTTATGGTGTTCAAGTTATTTCAGGCTAACAGGTGCTGTGAGTTCTGTTCACCGCCACAGAACACTTTTGGTTCTCGTCATTGTGAAACGATTATTTAAAATGTTGGAGATCAAATTTCTTCACCACACGACTGTTTCATCTGTTATCACCTCGGAAATTATTCTTGCGTGTGAATTTAATTTTGTTCACATATTCAGATTTAGTAGATGACAGGTCTGTTGTTTCGAGGTCAACACTCGTTTTTCATTACTGATTATATGTTAATTATACGTTACGTGTATGTTATGTTACGTATGCATGTCATACTGGGTAAAATGAATAAATGAAACTACCGTAATGTCTGGACTATAAGCCGCTACTTCTTCCACAGGCTTTGAACGCTGCGGCTTAAACTCATTTATGGATTTCTACAAATTTTCCTCGAGACCAAAGTGAGTCTGAGAGCGACGACGACAGAGAGACTGAGGAAGTGATGAAGTGATTCTGAGGCTGTTCAGCTCCTGAAGACACTGAAGAAGACGACTTTAGTGGTTTTAGTGCAGGAGGAAGATGAAGATAGCCATCAGTGACTTTTCCTGGTAGCTGCTGGAGTTTTATTTCCTTAACCAGCCGTGTTACAGGAAGTGTTCAGAAAAAAGCCTCTACGGTACGTATCTGTGGATGTTACCGCTACGCATTTAATTAAAGGTTGAAACATCTTTCTGTGTAAATATCTCATGTCCCAACGTGGACACCTGCAGCTTAGAGACCAGAGCAGCCTGGATATGAACACACCTGGTTTCCTGTTTAAAGTCAGTGGGCGGAACTTATATTCAGGTGCCTCTATAGTCCAGACATTACGGTACTCATGATCACACGTTTGGTGAATTTGCCTCCAGACGTTAAATTTGTCCGTAAAAGGTCGGAGTTGAATCGTCCATGAAGCAGCTTCAGCAGCTAAAGGCCGAACTCCTTTTGTTTCAGCTGGTTCGAGCCACATTTAGTCGTCCACACCTCTTCCTTCCTTCCTTCCTTCCTTCCTTCCTGCTGCCCTCCTCGCTCACTCACAGCTTCTAGGAACAAAAGCTTCGGATCCACACGAGTTGACTTGTGCAGAATCATCCCACAGAACGTTTCCCCGACGTTACCTACAGGTTCTAATGCTGTTTTAAAGCTTTGCTCTGAGGTTATTTATCACTCCCAATAATGTTCCCATCAGCTAAAGCTGAACCAAGAACGCTTTGATGTCGGCGTGTTTGGAGGATGTTGTCAGAACCACACATCAGGTTCCCCGGTAACGAAGGAAGAACGTTCTCATAGCATGGCCTCAGACATGTTCCTTTGATCTGACATACTACCAAAGGTGGAACATGGTGCCTGCAATGTTCTCAGGATGTTTTATGGATGGAGTTGACAGAACATTTTATAGAACATACAAAACGTTCCCCCAATGTTCTACAATGTTAGCGCCCAAAGCTCTAAAAACGTCATCACCAAACACTGCTAGAACGTCATTGTTAAACACTATCTACCTTTTGCAGAACTTTCTCAGAACATTTTTTCGAACAAATGAATTCCAGCTCGGTTTCAGAGATGTTCTGGCTCAGTCTGGACAGAACCAAGTTCTCAAACCAACATTTAAAAACTGTTTTTTGTTGTTGTTTTTTTTTAAATTAAACTTTGCGGCAATGTGATAAATATATGAAACAACAGTAGAACAAACTGTCTGCAATGTTCTGAGGGTGTTGTTGAGAGAACACATTATAGAACGTTCTTCGATTTCAGTAAAATATCCCCCCAATATGTCCTCCATGATAACAACGGAAGAACATTCTCAGTGCAAATTTTGGTTTGGAGAACGTTAGGACACAACGGTCAAAGTCAAAACTGACCTCCTTCTGAAAACATTACCAGAACTTTGTAGAACTTTCTCACATAAATTTGAGAACAAAAACTCTGATGTAAAGTTGCTTTGACCAATCAAATCATCAGATGATCCAACAGTCAGTCAACATTAACCCACGTAAACATGTTCCATCTGTTCCGGCCATAAAATCCCGGAGAAGGTTCTACGTCAGTCAGTCCAAGACAACTCGAGTTCCATATCGGTCATGTCCAGTGTTTTTAATGTACAGATTACAGGTAACAATATATAGAGTAGATAACGAGGTTACAGCACTACTCAGTGGCTAATGTTCTGGACTATTACAACATTCAAGTTGATTAGTAATACATTAAAAAGCCATACGTATAATAGTTAGAACGTACGTACACTAATTAGCATCCAGTGTACTCTGACTGATCTGTAATGCCCACACAGGAGAAGTTTGAAGGGACCCTAATAGTTATGATTTTAATGGTTCGTTATAACATTATTGACTGTATGCATAATTACTGTGTAATTAGTGTTCACGTCATAAAACATGTTGACTTAAAATGTGATGCTGAACACATCCTACCGACCCGTAACGCCGTCTAGTTCAGGACTTTCCGTCAGTTACTGCACTCGAACAACTTTATAGGAAGCTTAAATCAACGTTCCACATCCTGTGTGTCAACCAGTGATTTATTATTAGCTAGTTATTTTTAGCTATTTTACTAGTTTGCAAACTCTTTTTTTAAAATCAGCAACCAAAAAATGCTGCTGTGCAAGAACTAAAGCAGCTCTGAACCACGAGAGTACGATAAGACGACTTTTAATGAGCTAAACCTCGCAAATAAGTAAACTTATTCACGAGTTATAATGTTAGCAAAAGAACAAGTCGATACACAAACTACCAAGTCTGGAAGTGGTTTTAATTAAAATCAGCTTAAATTGACTCTCTTACTAGCTAGTGTTAGCAGAAGAACAAATATTTACAGAAGCTAAAATCGTGCCTTCCACAAGCTAACGTTACAGAAAGAGCCATCTTTTACCTGAGCTAGAACTGGTTCTGTCTGTAACAAGCTAAAATCCTTTCTTCCACGACAGAACGTTACAGAGAGAACTATCCTTGACATGAGCTAACATTGGCTCTTCCAAAAGCAAATGAAATAGAAAAAAATCTTCCTTTGCAAGAGCCAAAACTGGCTTATTTAGTAGCTAGCATTACAAAAAGAGCTATTGGTTCCTCCACAAGCTAACCTTTCTCAAAGAACCCTCTTTTACATGAGCTAAAATCGACTCCTTTACTTGGTACCGACAGAAGCACCTTTTACTTAAGTTAAAATTGGTTCTTCCACAAGCTAACGAAACAGGAAAATAGATCTACGAAAGCCAAAACAGTTTTACTTACTAGCTAATGCTACTCAAAGAACCATCTTTTACATTAGCAAAAATGAATTCTTACACAAGCTAACGTTATCAAAAGAACACTCCATCACAAGAGCGTAAATCCGCTCTTTTACGAGCTGTTGTTACTGAAAGAACCATCTTTTATATGAGCTAAAATTGCTTCCTAAACAAGCTAACATTACCAGAAAAACTATCTTTCACATGAGCTAAAACTGACTATGCTAGCTATTGTTGCTGAAAGAACCATCCTTTATGTGAGCTAAATAGCATTCCTCCACGAGCTAACGTTACAGAAAAAAAAGTCTTTTACACAAGCTAAAACCGGCACCTCCAGAAGCTAATGCTACTGAAAGAACTACGTTTCCAGTGAAACCTGCCTTGTTTGCTCATTAATATTCTAGAAAGAAAGATTTTCTACCTACAAACTGGTTCTTTCACAAGCTAACGTTGCACAAAGAACTATCGTTTAAACAAGCTAAAATGAACTCTTCCACAAGCTAATGTTGCATAAAGAACTATTTCTAAATAGTTATTTAACCAACTTTCCAGGCAATTCATTTTAAAATAAGCGTCCGTACCTTTGGTTTATAATAAGTTTTACGACGTGCTAAAGTGCAGCAGGAAGCTAAACTGTGAGAAAATGTCCTGAACCAGGCGGCAAAACAGAAAAACTTAGAGGAAGCTGGAGTCAGTAAACATGTTTTCCACATAATCAAGCAAATTAGAGGCAAACGTTTTAAATATTGCTAATACGAAAGGAAAGACAACGTAAATTAGGCTTGTTTCCATGAAGTGCTTTGGATGAACTAGGCTGGAAGAGTAGATGAAGCTGGAAACAAACATCTTAAAGAAACAAACTTTGTCCATCGACAAGAGAAAAATGAAGACAGAAGTTTTCAGGAAGTGTTTTCAGTTGAGTAAGTTGTGATTATTCTTGAATGTCAACTGGTATTGGCCCAGTTTGATGCTGTCCGAAGATGAAGCCATGAAGGAAACCCCCTATCAGTCATATGAACATGTCTAGAATGTACCTTTTATCAAATGTTGCTGTTTCCATCAAATGTGCATGTTTGGGGATTTTTTCTTTGATGAAGTTAAATATCGAAACTTTACGTGTCAGCTGATTTTTTTTACTTTCTTGCTGACAAATTTCCTGCACATTCAGCTGATCTGTGAACACGGATTAAACTAGCAGTTAAACTAATGGGAAGTTCAACCCTGTCTCCACTTCTTTGTCTTTTTGTCGTCAGAAAATTATACAAAACTAGAGGACGAGCTCCAGCATCGACCGGCGGCAGTAGAGATGCTGCAAGTTTCATTTAAATTCAAGTAAACTCCAGATTTGTTTCTCTACAACGTGTTGAGAAAAATCAGTCTAAAAGTGTTTAGGGTCCCTTTAAGCTCCGTCAACAACATTAAAGTACAGGACATGAACCACATCCTACTGTACGGACACAATACTACGTCAGAGGCAGTGTGTGTTGTTGTAGCCGCTGCTGCACAGGACATCGAGGCCAGACTCACTTTCACTTCAGGCGATCCAATCGTTTAAATACACTTTAAAACGCCGACTGATCCAAGTGAGAAGTGAGTCGGTGATGTTCCCAGGAGGCATGTTCAGACAAAGAGGTTCAGGTCCAAAGTCCTGTGATTGTATCGTCAGTAAAGAATAAAAATATATCGGTACATAGAAAAAGTTTCCTTCGTCCGTCCCGAAGCTTCCAGTCGTAGCAGCAAGATTCCTGTTTGTGTTCTGTGGGTTGAACGTTGGGTTTTAATAGCACTTTAACACGTTCTCTACACTGTGGTCTCATTCACACTCATGTTCTTCGTCACTGGCATTACTGTCGAAACCTCAGAAAATCTCTAAAACACTGGACACACAAGTGAGAAAAACACCTCGGCGGCGTTTTCACTTTCACATTTGGCTCTAAAACACGTCGATATACAAAAACCGACCATCCCTTTCTGGACTCTGATTGTTTTGGCTAATGCGTTTAATCTCTCATTTGTTTTTTAAGGAAAATTTCAAAATTATTGCTTAAACAGGGCGAAGTTTCAAATTTTCTGAGATGATAAACCAATCGCTAATTCCAGTCGGTACATTTAGAGATAATGAGGCTTTTCATGCGAGTCGAGAAACGGCTGATCTCTGCTAAAGACATCGAAAACATGTAAAAACAGTATAAAAATAAAGTTATTATTACTCTGATACACCAGATAACACACTGACTAGATAACAGAATGTACAACAGCGGTGATGACTGCACCATTGTGACGTAAATTATTTCACATTTTTGGTATAAAGCAACGTATCGCACAACAGGGGAGCCGTCGAAGCTAGAAAACAAGGTAAAGTACAGGATCGAGTGTAAACTCTGAGACCGAGCAGCACGAAATTTATACTTGTGTGTCAGGAATGTGTCAGAAAAGACTCGTGTTTCTCAATTTGGCCCTAAACTTTGGCTAAAACGGGTACAGCGTTAATATTCATAATGGATCAAATGCATAACTTGTGACTAAAAGGTCAACGTGCCGCACTACTTCTGAGATATATTCTCTTCCATTATCTTCCATTTATTTGCGTATTTTACCAATTATATCCATTGGTATTTCTAAAAAACAAACCACAATGGTGGGGAGCTCAGTTCAAGATAATAATTTGAACACCTAATCATTACAACAAAGACAAAACAACAATGGTTTCATTAAAAACTACAGCTCCCATAGCTAGCCTCGAGCTGTACCGGCTGAAAAATACCAAAATAACTGCTGCTAGTATTTAAAAGCCTGGCTTAGCAGCAGGATACTAGATTTAATAAAGTATTGTGTTAGCGTAGCATGCTAGTCACAGCATGAGTTTATAGGTTAGCATCCATTTATTACAAGAAAGCACACCGAGCTACTAATGCTACAATTAGCATCTAATTGCTTTGCTGCACCACGACGACTAGCTTAGCAGGAGCTTATTTACTATCAGCATGTGTCGTATGGCTGGAGGTCGCCTCGCTAGGGACCTCAGGTTAAAAAGTTGGACAGAAATAAAACTGGTTTTTAACCCTCTGAACCCCAAAACCTGCTGGCAGATTTGAAGAAAAAAAATAAATAAAGCCATGCTAAAGGTGGAACATCTTTCTACTGATGATGGTGAAGAGCAGAGCAGAACATGGAAACTTGGAAATGTTGGACATGTTGGTTCCAGGTTATTTTTGATTTTTGACCTTGCAGTGAAAAATGAGCCAACAGTGAAGAAAAACACCCAGAAGTTGTTTGGAGTTCAGAGGGTTAAAAAGTTCCAGGTTGTTAACTGGTTAGTTGTTGTATTTACTAACTAACAGCGTCAGCTGTAACCGAAGAGCAAACTAGTAGCGTTAGCATATAAACATGGCTAGTTAGCATATTTAGCCGTAACGGGTATATTTGGTATTTTTGAGATCTTTTCAAAACCTCGGAACATGAAACTCGCTGCTGAACACCAGATAAGAAAAGGACGTTAACGGTGTCCTGACTAAACTACAGGTTAGTATATATTTACTACTGCTGACAGGACGAACAGGGCAGGAAGTGTCAACCAGCTGAGCTAACAGTCGTTTAGGCTTTCATAGAAGAACACCAAAGTAATTTAAAAATCCTATAAGACACAGAAACACTTCAGTGTTATTGAACCAGTCCTTCGTCTCCGAGGTAACGGGACGGTGAGTTGACGCTTCGGCAGTCAGTCGGTTACGGAGAAGGTCCATCGAGTTCCGTCCATCGTTGCCAACAACACGTGAAGAAGAAGAAGAAAAAGAAGAAGGGATACATTCCATTTTCAGAAATTTACCTCCTCTTAGCTTCAGCAGGCTCCGCCCACTGAAGTCCTGATTGGTTGTCCGTCGTACTCAAAGAGCTGCTCCAGGTTCAGAAGTCCAACACTCGTATCTACCTGCCGAAGAGTCGCCGCGGTGACGCATCATTGGCCGGTTTCCGCAGAGAGGCGGGACTCATAGAGGCTCAAGGCGTGATGGACGAACTCGTACTGCTCCCCGGTCTGGATCATCCCTCCTCTGCAAACACACATGACTTTATTTAAATCACGTTCATCAGTAAAGAGACGCAAAACAAGCACAAAAAAACCTAAAAAAAACATCAAAGTGATGCAGAACAACTTCAAAGAAAATCAAAATCACCACAAAGACACGAAACAAGTATAAAGAGACACACGAAGATGAAAAATGAAGACAAAGACCCCCAGACTCCACTTCCTGCTCACCTGTCGGCCCTCAGCTGGCAGGTGATGCTCAGGACATCCACGACTCCTTCCAGCCTCAGCTGCCGGCAGCCAATCGTCGTGGCGATGAAGCATCCGGTCCGACCAATCCCAGCGCTGCAAAAGAACCACATGACGGTGAAGTCACCGCGAGGCGCTACATTGGCTCAGACTCACCATGTCTCCTACGGTACCTGCAGTGGACGATGACCGGGCCGGCGGCGGAACCTCGGCCCGCCTCCACGTCGGCCGTCAGCTGCAGCAGCGGCAGCGCCGAGTCGGGCGTCTTGTGGTCGGGCCACGACGTGTACCAGTAGTGCTGCAGCTCGCGGGTCTGGTTTCCGCACTGGTGGGACAGAGAGGCGTGTTAGGGCCCGACCAGACACACCCAAACAGGAAACAGGAAGTGGCTTACCTTCAGCGTGAGGCTGCGGCTGGTGAAGTGCTCACACTCCCTGACGCTGTTGACCAGAACCTCCACCCGGCCATAGATGCCTCTCTTCTCGGGCCAGTACAGCACACACTTCTACAGACACACAGCAAACATTCAGGTAGTTTGTATTCAGGGACGTTTAAATCAGCTTCAAAGTCGGATGTTTCTCTGCATTTTCCACCTCCAGCTGTTTAGGGATCGAAAAGCTGCTTCAGCAGCACAAAGACCTGAAATTCACTAAATACAGCCTCAGGTTGAAGTAGAGAAACTGTAGGACTAGAATGAATACGTAGAAACGGCTTATCTTTGTAGCTCAAGTTGTTTCAGAGCAGGTTGTGATCTGTCTCAGTCGGATCATGACTAGTTCTTAAATCCAATTTAACTTAGTTTGTTTTTGAGCCTGTTTTCACTCAGTATCAACTTGTTTGGAGCCCCTGTTCGACTCTATTTTGACGTGTGTTTGAGGAAGTTTTAGGCTCTAACTTGATGTCTTTGAGCCCATCTTACACTGTTCTGACTTGTTTTTGAGCCTGTTTTAAACTAACTTGGTTTGTTTTTTAACCCATTTTAGGCTCTGATTTCACTAGTTTTTGAGCCGTTTTTACACTCAGTTTTGACTTGTTTTGGAGCTATTTTAGACTGTTTTGATTAGTTTTTTAAGCCAATTTTACACTCGAACGTGACCTTTTTTTTGGCTCCAACTTGACTTGTTTTGAGCCCATTTCAGGGTCCTGTCTCGACTGGTGACGTTAACTTCACCAGAGCTCACAGGCTGCTAAAAATCAGACTGACAACACCAGTTAATAATGATCAACTGAATTTCAAAATGTGCACTAAAGTTCTTCTGCTCTGATTAAAGCTAGAGAGATGCAAAGGTCTGATATTAAAGAAGATCTCCTCCAGTTCTGGTTGGATTTCAAAATGCATGAACACACTTTAACACAATAATTGACTCCTGCACAGCTGTTCTTTGGACTCTTTTCACATCCTCTAGTGCTGCACACTGACACTGTCAGGTTCTATTCACCTTTTTTAATTTGAAAAAAAAAAGTATTTGAACTATTTAAACAACTTAAACTATTTGTACAAACTGGCAGGTAACACATCGAGGGCAGACGTTTGGCGTCTCGTCAACACAGACCCACGTTTCCATCTAAAACGAGCTTCACCTCGTTCTTCTCCTTCAGCTTGGTGATCATGACGATGACCGGCGCCTCCTCCTGCCACGCCATCTGCCAGAAGTCGTTCACCGTGTTCACCATCGGGCCCTGAGTGGCGATGAACGCCTTGTGGTCGCCGAGGTAACCCTGAGACGGGAGCCAATCACAGAGCAGCGTCAGGAAACAATCACTGCTGACATTTACGACGCCTCGTTTTATTTTAAACCATCAGAATTTTAGAACAACGGCGTGAGATTTGAACAGAAAGTGACAGTTTCACATTTGGTCTCCTTCACTTCCCTCCATGTGGTTCATGCTCTAACCGACTCTACATCTGGCTCTGGCTGCTCTGGACGGTAGCACAAAGAATCTAAACAGTTTTCATGGTTTCAGTGCAGTTTCCTGGCAGGAAGCTTCTATTGTGTGAGCGTCTGAGAGCGACATTACAGACTCCTGCGACGGTTTACTTTCACTGAGCCGACGAGGAAACCAGAAGAACAAAGAACGGGCTGTTGACATTCCAACCAGAGAAAATCAGACGAAGACGGTTCAGTCGTTCAACACAGAAGCCTCACAGACAGAAAACCAAAGATGTGTTTGTTACCCGGATGTAGTTGGCGTTGATGTACGAACTCAGCAGGTCGTTGCAGCTCTTTGACTTCAGGATCACTCTGGAATGAGGATCTGAAGAAAGAGAGAGAAAACAAAGGAAAGGATTAAAGATGACCAGAATAATTTAGATCATACGTTCACGTGTAGAAAGACGAAGCTTCACTGGTCGTTTGAATCAAGTCTGACTAGTTTCTGAGTCTGTTTTAGGAACTGACTTGACTTGTTTTTAAGCCGGTTTCCAACTACTTCTTGTCTTTGAACTTGTTCTAAACCATAAATTGACTTGTTTTAAGTCTGTTTGAGGCTCGTTGTTGACTTTGTTTGCAGCCTGTTTTAAACTCTAACCTAACTTGTTTTAAACCCCTTTCAGGTTCAGTCTTCACCCGTTTCCTAGACTCTTAACTGGACTTCTGTTTGAGCCTGTTTTAGACTCTGAACTGGCCTTTTTTAAGCTCCAATTTCAGCTGTTTTTGAGTCTGTTTTAGGCTCATTCTTCACTTGTTTTTTGAGCCCATTTTATGCTCTAACTTAACTTGTTTTGAGTTCCATTTAGGCTCTAATTTAACTCGTTATTGAGCCTGACTTTTACTCTCTCTTGTTTTTGTTGTGTTTTTTTTTTTTTTAACCCTGTTTCAGTCTTTTACTTGATTTCATTTTCATTTTCTAACTTGACTTGTCTTTGAGTCCATTTTGGCTCTAATTCAACATGTAATTGAGCCTTTTTTAGGCTCTTCCTTCACTTAGTTTGGAGCTTGTTTTAACCTCTACCTTGAACTGCTTTGAGCCTGTTTCAGGCTTTGACTTAACTAGTTTCTGAACCTGGTTTAACTTAACATGTTTTCAAGTTTGTTTCAGACTCGTTCTTGAGTTCGTTTGCAGCCTGTTTTAAACTCTAACTGGACCTGTTTCTGAACCCAGTTTAGGCTCTGATTTAACGAGTTATGGAGCCTGTTTTAAGCTGCTTCCACTTGTATTCGAGTACATTTAAGCACAAAGTCCATTACTGCTGATAACCCAGACCACTGAATATCAGAACCAGACACGGTGCAATGATCTGTTCGTGGTTTAGTTGGAGGACTTTGTGAACTCCTGGTTCTGTTTTAAAGCCACTGTGCTGTGGTTAGCGTTGGTACGAAGCCGGCTACACCTGGATCTACCGTCTCAGAGTCTTTTAAAGTCCTTCAGCCCCCCTCAGGCCGGACTCAGAACCGAGCACAGCCCCGTGAAACACAATGAGCACTTCAGAAAGACAACACAGAAACTGGAACACAGGAAGCACTTTGAATGACAGGTGAGCATTCCTTTCTCTTGATTGGCCGGAAGGAAGGAATCGGGCTGTGTTGATAACCCCGCCCCCTCTCCAAAAACACCAACCAGAAGCTGTGATTGTGTGTGTGTTACATAACGTCTTAATCAGGCGGTATTCCTTCGCTGTGAGAACAAACTGTGCTCTGAGGAACATCTATTGTTCCACGGCGATCGGGGAGGCGGGATGTTGGCCGTCCTTCGGGTGGTTGGCCTTTGACACCAGGCCCCTCCCACATCATAAAACAACTTCCTGGTTCGACAGGAAACGAGAGGCGAGGGCTGCTTTGGAAGCTGCTGCCTAGCAACGGCGAGGACTCACTGGGCAGGATGGTCTTGTATCTGTTCTTGGTCCCGTGGTTGGGGATGTCCAGCTCCTTGGGATCGATGAAGTTCATGGGAATTTCCTGAAGCGAGAGGAAAGGCGAACTTTATTGGTGCCGCACATTTCATAAACAGGTGGAAACACAACACACCTTACACGAGGATGACGGGGGAGAGCGAAGCCTGTGATGATGATACGCTAACAGCAACTACAGTGACAGTAAATGTTCTAAAACTACTAATGGATCTTTTCCAACATTAAGAGCAGAAAACAGATTCACTACATGTTGAAATTCCTACAATCACAGCTAAAGTTTGACCTGAACAACTCAGTTTCATTTAATTTAATTTACTCACTGTTGTATTTACAGAACCTGGAAACATCTCCACCTTTGCAGCTGGTATTTATGCATCAATTTTCTATGATGGAACCATTGGATCATGTGCTTCTTTATAATAAAAACAATCCTGAATAGAATAGAATAGAATAGAATAGAATAGAACTTTATTGATCCCTTTGGTGCAAACCTCAGGGAAATTGTTGATTGTGAAATTGTGGTTCTTTCATAGATTTATTGAAAACTATAAAA